GTTCCAGTGCCAGCATGGACCCGTCGAGTGCTACGGGAACCGCGTCATGTCCTGCGCCCAAAACTCCCTCCCAATTGGCACGCAGGTCGAGTTCTTTCAGTGTATGATGACCAAGCCGTCCCCGGCGTTCTCTGGGATGGAGGTAAGTGGTGTGTCTCCGCTCCTGCCGTGTGAGATGATGGGTGAGATGACGAAGTGTGCCTCTTCCACTTGAAATAGTTACGACGAGACCTCGCTTATACACAGGGCCGTTGAAGACCTTCCAGTCGCAAAATCGCCCAGGAGCGGATGGCAGAGGACCTCCTAAACGACTTATTACCACCATTATTCCCCAGACACTGTAATACTCTTAATATGAAAATATTCCAGACCAAGTGACCAAAATTTCAAGTGGAAACGAATGACTGACGAAGACTCAGCGATACCTGATGTAATGACTTTCTAGAAACTTAAATGCATTGGTTAGTGAAAGGCACGTTACAGGTACGTGATACGTGTGTGCATGACCGACTGCAAAATGGATTTTTTTTGCATTTTATAAAAAAAAAAAAATCTGTATTTTGCAGTTTTATCAAAAAATCTATATTTTGCAGTTTTATAAAAAAAATCTGTATTTTGCAGTTTTATCAAAAATCTGTATTTTGCAGTTTTATCAAAAAATCAGTAGTTTTTCAACCAGCAAAATTATAAAGAATTATAGCATAGACCTTGTAACCACCCATTCTTACACCTCCCAACTACTTGAACAAACATTACCCTTTAAAATGATTATCTAAATACGTGAAACGGTCAAGAATCATAAAGCCATCATTTAACATTACAGTTCAATCAGCAATAAAGCATACAGGTGAGCTGATGTGACCGAAACCCAGACCGTATGAACGACTGAGAATTTGCAGACATTCAAGCCAAGACCTCGACCCAGGGACGGGCGTTTGTTTACATTGAAGACCAGCTGACTACATTCTGTTATAAGGATCGTTAGCCTGTGTTTAGATATGGTGCATATAAAGCATTGGCAGAAATGACGTTGTGAAAGTGTTTTCCTGTGTATTATCTCCTTTGTTGGTGCATTTCTGCTAAAAAAGGTTGATTGTTGTACATAGCGTGTTTGAATTTTGTTTATTGTCTTTAGTTTGGTCTCTCTCTCTCTCTCTCTCTCTCTCTCTCTCTCTCTCTCTCTCTCTCTCTCTCTCTCTCTCTCTCTCTCTCTCTCTCTCTCTCTCTCTCTCTCTCTCTCTCTGTCTCTCTGTCTCTGTCTCTGTCTCTGTCTCTGTGTCTGTCTCTGTCTCTGTCTGCCTCTCTCTGTGTCTGTCTCTGTCTCGTCTCTGTCTCTGTCTGTCTCTGTCTCTGTCTCTGTCTCTCTCTCTCTCTCTCTCTCTCTCTCTCTGTGTGTGTGTGTGTCCCTCTCCTCTCCTCCCCTGTGTGGTGTGTGTGTGTGTGTGTGTGTCTTTCTCTCTCTGTGTGTCTCTATCTCTGTGTCCCTCTCCCTCTCCCCCCCCCCTCTCTCTCCATATACATATGTTTATAGACATTGATTGAGATTGAGATAAAATTGATAGATAGGTCGGTAAGGGTTGGTTAGATACACAGATAGACAACCAGATAAATAATCATGGACCTCTACACTATGCGCGCAATTATATATATAAGGACAGATGGATATATAGGGATTAAATTGCACACGCACACGCACACGCACACGCACACGCACGCACACACACACACACACACACACACACACACACACACACACACACACACACACACACACACATTTATACATATATACACACCACGGCTAAAACCCTCTCACCTTCCCCCGCCCACAGTGCAGCGAGGAAGTGGGCATCGCATGGGCGCCCCTGCAGGAGTGCGCAGAGAGCGTGAAGGGCGCCGCCATGCTGTACACGAACGGCGTCCGCACTGCCTCGCTCAGGCCGTGGGTGAACTTCATTCCCACCATCACCATCAACGGGGTGAGTGGCTCGCTTGCCTTGGGGCCGCGCGCTCCGCCTGGCGACGTGCCTCCGTGGGTGGTTCCTTGTTTACGTGGCGCTGTGTGGGTGATTCGGTCTGTGTATGGAATGTTATATTTGTTTGTTTGTTTTTGCATTTGTTTGTTTATTATTATTAATGTGTGTAGTGTGTGTGTGTGTGTGTGTGTGTGTGCGTGTGTGTGTGCGTGCGAGCATGTGTGTATGCGCGCTGTTTACGTGGCGGTGATTAGAAGATGATTCGGTCGTGTGTAGGGAGTATCATATTCATTTATTTATTTATCATGTGTGTGTGTTGTGTGGTGGGTGTGGGTGAGAATAGGTGTATGTGTGTGCAGACAAGTGGCGGATCTAGGGAGCTCCAAGAGGGGGCCGATCCTTTCAAAGGAGGCACCGAAGTCCTTTTTAGAATTCCAGCAATCTAGGGCAAATTGGGGCAGTTTTAGGCCGACTGATACTTGTAAATCATATGCGCTTGAGCCGATGTTTTATCACCAATTTTA